CTCAGGGGACGGAGACAGCTCGGAGGGAGCTGCTCTCATTGCACTGTGCTTGCCTCGACCCCCTGCAAACCGCATCTCCCTGCCACCACCCGAGCTCCCCACCTACCAGGGAAGCTTGCAAAGCCAAAGGCAGCCCAGGGGTACGTAACAGATTGCACAAGGGAAAGAAAAGGAAGAAAAAAAAGCAAGCAGGAAATCCAGCAGATCTCATTAAGCTAACAGAAATGCCCATGAACCCAACGTCAGCTCAGCCCAGCCAGAGCCACGGTTTGCAAGGAGGGAGGACGCGGCTGCGCTGCCGGGGACTTTGCGCCCACCTCTTGCCTGCACCCCCCAGCCCTGCCAGAGGCACCTTTCCCCCTCGCTGCATCGGGCTGCTCTGCAGAGCAAACCCTGCCGTTGCGGTACACCTGATCACACCAAAATGGCAGGTCCCCATGAAAAACAGACAGAACACCAAGTGCAAAGCTGCTTCGGGTAGGAATGTCCGAGTTACGCCAGGGTAAAAGGGATGGAGAATCCACGCCTCAGCGGTAACACTGGTGGCTCTCTGAAAGCTCTGCCTGGCCATAGGAAACACTATCATCTGTGGAATGGGCGTGTTGAAAAGGCTTTTTCACACCCAGACGTGCCTGCAGGTCAGTTGCAAGACGCTGTCAGATGGCACTTGCTTCTCTGCACCCCAGCACGTTCCATCGCAAAGGCTTGTAAGGGCTAAGTACACAGATTGCCTCCGTCACCTGTCATGGAGCGGCCGTAAGGGATACACAAAAGCTGATCTTCATTGTAATATACCCAGACAGCACAATCCCTTGCAACTAAGAAGAAAAATAAATGAGCAGCAAGTACACCCTACCCTGGGGTAAACCAGCATAGCATCATTTATTTAGATTTTGAAAGGAATAATTGCACCTACCCTTGACTCTAAGTACCCGTGTGTAATGGAGCAGACAGCAAATGCAATTAAATTAGTCGTCAACAGCATTAAACATCAGTTCTTAACTCTCAACCTACCCCATCCATCAGCTAACAAGCACCCTGACCTTCCTCCAGAGACCTCCACGCCAGCGCTCCGCTAGCGGCTCCTCCCCGCTCTTTACTGGGTGAGTTCACCATCCGCAGCAGCAGGAGAGGAGCAGCCCTTTCCGCAGCCCCGCGTTTAGGAAGGGACCGCAGGCAATTCCTTCATAGATGCTTCGCTGAAAAGGGCCTGCAAACACACGCACCATAAAGCCCTGCTTTTTGGCACGGCAAGCCAAAGGACTTCTGTCACCCCCTGCAAGCCTGACCATCTCGCAGGACGGGGAGAGGGCGGGTTTATTTGAAGGTGAGGAGCAAAGCGCAGCACCGCTCGCCTGTGCTCGGAGCAGCGGGCATGCTCTCTCACAGCCTCAACACACGAATCCCTCGATGCAAGAGAGACGACTTTGGGGGGAAGCCCAGAGCGGCTGCTCCAGATGGTGGCTTCCTCCAGAAAGCCGTTTTTACAAGGACGATCTGAATAGCTACCGGATTGCCATCGTGCCCAGAGCAGCCGAAACCTCCCCTGCCCGGCACCAGGCTTACGCTGCCCCGAAGCCACAACCAGGAGATGCTGGGGGGAAAAACCCCCTTCAGAGAGCGAGCTGTGGCAAAGACTGCTCTGCCCAAACAGACGCAGGCCAGCACTGGGAAGGCAGAAACGGCTCCAAACCCTCTTTGTGCCTCATTGCAAGCTGCTGCGACGGCTGGGGCAGCCGGGAAGCGCCCAGCTCCGCAGCAGCCCCGTGCAGCGCACATCAGCCTGTGCCAGCAATGCTGTGGGCTGCTGCAGCGGGGGAACACCCAGCAGGTTGTTCCTTGGACTCTTTCCGTCAAAGACAACCTGCTACAGCTTTTGGATCAGGATTTTTTTTAAGCTTCCCCAGCAACACAGAGCCAGCAGAATTATCGCTGGGCTGATGATGATCTCTGCAGCTCCAGGACAGCTGCCTCCTGGATGCACTGCCCGGCCATGCTCCCCTGTACCGAGCGCTGCTTGGATTCAGCTCCTGCTCCCTTCCCACCATATGGCCTCTCTTCTCTTCCCCTCCCTCCTCGCTCAGGCGCCTTTCCCGCGGAAGCTTGCAGGGAAACGCAGCCTCCGTCCCTCCCTCCGCTTTGCTCTGTAGGCGCAGCTCTTTGTTTGGGGACGCGGGGTGTCTCCTTGGCTGGTGTTAATTAGAGGGGTCACGTCAGCGCTTGCGGCACTGAGACCCGGAGGGCACCGAGCTGCTGCTGCCCAGGACAGTTTGCATCCGTGGTCCTCTCCCAAACAGGATTTGGGCAACACCAAGGCCCCCAATTTTTAAGTTGAACACTGGCCGTTTCCCGGCGGTGCCTTCAGCGCAGGCAGGCTGCAGAAGGATCGGGCACATCGAGCGGACGCAGCTGCTCCCCACCACTTTATTTCTCCTTCTGCATCGAGAGGGGAGGGGGAAGGGAGGCAGCAGTGTATCTGCTAAATTAGGGCAAGTCGTACAGCACTGGCTGGCTGATCTGACAGTGGAGAAGCAAAGAGGAATACAAAAAATTGTGGGAAACCACAGTGTTATGCAGAGAGAATCCCCAAATTCCTAAACAGTTCTTTCCCTCCCACCCCCCACAACTTGCTGAAAAATTCACATTCAGGTTTCCGAGGTCTCAAAGGAGAGGAGCTGTGTGCTCCCCAAGCCCGCGCAGAGCTTCAATTAGTGCAAAGATCAAGAGGGATCTGGTCTATAGCCGACATTAAAGCACTTCCACGCAGCATCCCCTCCCTCCCCACGGCCTGGGGGAGACCAACAGGTGGGGAAGGAGACGCAGGCGCGAGGGGGATGGACGGGACGGGATTACGGAGGATGCTTTGGCTGGCTGGCAGGCAGGGAGCGAGTGTGTGTGCGTGACGATGGCTGAGGCAGTTAAAAGACGCTAAAAGAACCAACTCCCCCGTGTCCTTCAGGCCTGGAGTCTCCCAGGCCCTTACGCTCAAAATGGAAAGGAAGAATCAATTTCCTCCTCAGGGCTCAGCCCCGTTCTTTCCTCTTTCCCGCTCGTCCCCAAACGCTGCCCATTTCCCCCATTAAATTATCGCTGACAGAGCCCTTTAAATTATAATGCAGGATCTTACGCTGCCTAATCCACTTAACTCAACCCCAGCTGATTAAATTGGATGCCATATGGTGGGAGAGCGCTGGTGTAATCCACAGGGATGGGGACACACTCGACTCATTACCTGGAGCGCAGCACGGAGCCCTCTCGCCACACGCCTCTGCGCCGGGGCCCCGCTTGCTGCGAGGGATGCGGTTTGCGAGGTGCCGGTCTCCAGCACCGACACCAGCTCTGGCAAGGTGGCGGTGCCATTAAGTACAGCCCCAAGCAGCTTAAAGGCACAAATTGTCCTCCATCTCTGCTGGCATCTGGCTGTTCCCCCATCCCCAGCTGGTGCAGCACACGGTCTCCCAAGGGCACTTTGGAAACTGGGGAAATTTGGTGCTTGGGAAAAAAAAAAAAAAATTAGGTGGAGGAGGTCTGTCCATGGGGAAACGTGCCAATATCTTGATTGCACTGATAGCTGGGCTTGCAGCCCTCAGACCAGGTCACTGTGTGATAATGAGGATTATAATTAAAAAGGTCACAGCCTGGAATAACACCCTGCAATGCAGGCCGCAGCTGGAGAGCACATTCCCGTGGTAAAGGGGAGATTCGAGGGCACGCTGAGCAGCTGTTGGCTGGGCCGCATCTGGGGAGCCAGCCCTCCGGCACCGCTGGAGCCGCACAGAAAGAAACACCGCCATCACCCAAACTAATAACACATCAGCGCTTCCCGCAGCGCAGCGTTATCCATCGGGAAAGCCCCGTCCCAAGCACTGGCAGCACTAATAGCCCTCCTCTAACCATACCAGAGAGAGAAAGAGCAATAACACACATCAGGACCTGTTTCCTTACATTTTTGAAGGTTTAAGGTCAGATTTTCAGTCTGCCACTGAAAGAGCTAGAAACTCACCTCTAAAAGCACCAGGAAAAATAGGAACCCACGTGATCATAGGTCAGGCTTTACGAGGTCAGGCTTTACGAAGACAACCACTTTCTGTGAAAGCAAAGGGATGTTATCGGAGCCAGCCGTGCCACCCCAGGCCCACAAACAGCATCACCCGAGGTGCTCAAGCTTTAGCCAATGCAGGGCTCACAGGGTCCTGGGACTTCTTCTTTACCCAGGAGGCAGCAAACCCAGTATTTTAATCCGACCACACTGTCAACATCTATTTTTCCCTGCACTTCTCCTAAAGTCCAACTATTTCAGTAGCTTCCTAAGGGCGTTTCGAGGTGGCGGAGAGTGAGCACAAAGCGGTTTGTCCTCACCCCGGAGCTGCCCCAAGGAAAGAGCCGCAGACCCGGCCGCGGCAGCGCTGCCAGGGCGGCAGACGCAGGAGGTGCTTCCAGCCCCCTCGGGCCACGCGTGGTTTTATTATTCATGTCAGTCTATTAGCGGGTGATGGATGGAGGCTGACGGGGAAGGCAAGGCACTCCCTTCGTTAGAGATACTAATATAATTTCCAGAGCATCCCCAAGGCCCTGCAGGGCTTTACCAACCCTCGCTCTCATCCTGATGGATGCTGAGCCCCTCTCAGCCCCATAGGTCTTGGTGATAGGGGATGGAGGTGCTGAGCACCTGCCACAGCCAAGCCTGGGGCCTGATCCTGGCTACGCACTGTGTAGTGCGGTGCAGAAGGGTTACGCCGCCAGCCGGGCGCCGAATCCTCATTGCATGGAGGAGCTGCAGATGTCCCGAGCTCGGCCTCCCCTTGCTCCTGCAGCCCAGCAAGACAAAAGAGGCCAGATCCTGTATGTCCCATAAGCACGCATCCATATCAAAACCTGCCAATAACACCAGCGCCGTGCAAAATGTGCCACTGTGTTTGGTGCGGTGGCATTCGGGGACCCCACCGCATCCACCCACGGAGCGCGGGAACTGCAGCAGCTTTGTCCCGTCTGCTTTTCAGACTTGCATTTGGCCGCGGAGCTGGGGAAGACGCTGCTGGAGCGCAACAAAGAGCTGGAGGACTCCCTGCAGCAGATGTACGCCACCAACGAGGAACAAGTGCAGGAAATCGAGGTAGGAACAGAGTCGGGCCAGGGGTGGGGACGGGAGCTGCTCGGCCACCGCTGTCACCTAAGGGCCACAGTGGGTAAGGGGCACTTCCACCAATGCCAGCAGCTCAGACGCCAGGAGAAAGGAAGGGATGCGCCATGGGGATGGGAGCTAAAGCCCATCCCAGCCCTGGAGAGGACCCCCTTTCCCCACTAACTGGTATTTTGCCCCTTCTCGCATCCCCACCCCCTGCCCAGACGTGCACACCAGATTTTGGCACCAGGTTGCATCTGGGGCACGTTTGGCCTTTCCCTGCCCATCCGCCAGCCTTCACATCGCTTCTCTTTGCGCTGCTGCTGCTTTCCCTTGATTCCAGTTATTCATAATCGCGTCTGTTCCCAGCTGGCCCCTCGGCACCCCCGTAACACAGCCCCCTTTGTCAGAGGCACAAAATAGCTCTTTCTCCGAGAGCTGCAATCTAACCCACTGTTTCAAGCGTCCTTTGGGGTCAGGGCAGTATTTCTAAGAGCCCACAGCACTAAGCTTAGAGGCTTAAACCTGCTGTGCCGGGAAGGTTTTCATCCGCTGGAAAACTTGTAGGGATCTGTGAGTTAAAAAAGATCAGAAGCCCCGTGATTTAAAAAGACGCGGGGCAGAGGAGGGCTGCGAGTTCACAAGAGCAGCACGCGATGGCGGCGGGGGTCTGGCAGCTGATGGGGGGGGATTTAGCCGTCCTCCCCAGCAGCCCTTCAGGAGCGCGCCCACCGCGGATTTGGGATCTGGTCCCAGCTGAGGGTGAGCTCTTGGGTAGATGCCCCTCTCCCAGGATAAAAATCTTGCCATGACAGACTCACAGAAAGGGAGCTTTGGACACACAGAAACCGCGAGTCTCCTGACACTTCACGGACTCGGAATTTTAGCCTGAATTCCCAAGGAAACGCAGCTTCTGCAATCAATCTGTCAGACGATCCAGTAACCAACCGGCCAATTTCAGTCACCTTTGGGGAAGGGTCACAGTCCCAGGGATATCAACTTTCTTTGGGTACTAGGAATAAAAAAGCAGCGAGAGACTGAGGTTAGCGCCCTTCGCAGAGGGCAGGGGAAGTTCAATCTTATTTTAGACACAAAAGTATTTACAGTAGGCAGGAGTATGAATATTTCACCTGTACAAATGGGTTCAACCACGCAGAGGAAAAATCCGGCACAAAACACATTATCAGAGGACGCAAAGGCTGTAGGAATTTCTGCCTGCGAAACAACCTGGATTTTGGATGTGGAGTGTTTCTGTTTCGCTCTTTCTTGCAGTACCTGACCAAGCAACTAGAGATGTTGCGGCAGATGAACGAACAGCACGCGAAAGTCTACGAGCAGCTGGACCTGACAGCACGGGACCTGGAGCTAGCTAACCAGAAGCTTGTGCTGGAAAGTAAAACATCCCAACAGAAGATACAGTGGTACGGCTTCCCCTCCTCCCACCGCAGCGATGCTGCACCTGAGACCTTCGTTTCGCCTTTCCCCTGCCCCAAAGCGCAGCGTGTCTTTGCTATTTAAGCCGTTCTCTTATCACTCAGCTTTTGCAGCTATTTACAACACAACCTCACCGCACCAATGCTGGTTAGCGGAGGTCAGCCACAGCACAGACACCCCCGGGACGAGGGCTGGATACAGGAGTGTCTGTAGCTGCCAGGAGAGCGGCACGGCAGCCTCTCCTCCTCCTCCTCCTCGAAGAAGAGGCACATAATCACATCACGGAGGTCCCCAGCACGCAGCCCAGCAGACACACTAGGCACAGATCCAACATTTAGCAAAACCCTGGCTAGTCCGTGCTGAAACACCAGTTTGTCAATAACTTTTGTTTCCTAAAACAGGCCCACGATCAAGGTCATCCCTGGAAACAACAGACTAAGCCATGTCCTTGCAATGCAGCATCTTTTGCAAACGGCTGTGCAGAGAGCAGAGAGTTTTACAAACTGCAGTCACAGCCAGAACAAAACTAAATCTCTGCCCAGTCTCTCTGTGTTTATCTCTACAAGAGAAACAAGAGGAAAAGAGTAAACAGCTTGCCTGCTTGCTTTTAGTGCAGAGATATTCCAGGACAGTGCTTATGTCCCAGAGCTGGCTGTTTTAGCCAACTGATCTGAGGCCAGAGGGCCTCAAATCAGTACGATCCCTTGCCGCTGCTTCAATCCCTCACCCTTTTCTGCAGACACCCTCACCCAAGGGCAACCACACAGAGAAAGACCAACCACGGCCATGAAAAGCAAGCGTTGTCCTGCTCCCAGGGCACATGCTAGAAACTGGAAGCACCTTCCATAGACTGGCTTTCTCTATGGGGAAAAACCACTTTTCAAAGCCTTGTAGTGCCTGACTCCTCATCTGTGCTCCCTCCTCTCTCCGCAGCTTGACAGAAACGATCGAGGGGCTGCAGAACCAAGTGGAGGAGCTGCAGAAGCAAGTGGAGGAAATGCGGAGCTTGGAGCAGCTCCGCATTCGGCGGGAGAAGAGGGAGCGCCGCCGAACCATCCACACCTTCCCCTGCCTTAAGGAGCTGTGCTCCAGCCCCAGGTACGGAGCCTTGCCTTTAGCAACCCCTCCAACCTTCTGCCCCACCTCCTCTGCCCGTGAACAGGGGACGCGGTGGGTTAGCCCCTCAGGGGTGTGCAAAACCCCACGTACACCCCCATAAAGATCTAGGCTCTGCCTCAGAGCCTGAAACTCAATGCTGGAGGTGAAGGGAGGACCTCCCGCTCTCCTACCTGCCCGCCTAAGCAGGTGGCCTTGGCAAAGCAGAGCCTTCGTGATCCCAGCATCAGTGATGCCTCGAGCGGGGAGACGTGAGCTCTTTTTCAGAGGGCAAGAGGAGCTACCCCGGAGGATCTGGATGCCTCATGCAGCCGCCCTGGGTCAGGCTGCAGGGGACAGGTATTGCCTGGAGGGGCTGGGACTTTGCCGGCACATCGGCAGGGAGGTGTGTGGGAACCCCCAGCAGACAGGACGCATCGCTTGAGCTCTAGATAGCTCAAACCAGCCTCTCCCAGTACAGCCCACCCAGCAATGCATCACGTGCAGAGGACCCTCACCTCGAGCTGCCGAGGCAGCTTCCCTTCCCGAACCAGCACGGCCCGCTTCCCTTTGCGGCTGCCTCCCAGCACAGTACCAGCATCTCTGGCTCACTGAAAGCAGCCGGGATGGTGCATTTTGTCCTGTATGACTCCAGTACCCCCCAGGAGCCCCAGTCACACACCAAGGTATGCCACGTGCTGCCAAGCGCTGTACAAACACCTTCAGCACTATTGCACACTTGATCCTCCTTAAAACCCAGCCACTGTGTTAATTCACTGACCTCGTGAGGGCATTTCTTGCTCAGCTTTGTCCATAACAGAGGCTTCTTTAAATAGATAAGCAATCAATAAACTTTGTTACTGAAAGCATCCTCTGCCAGAGGATATGAGCAAAGGACACTTTTACTGCAGCAGCAATGGGGACATTTATGAGGCCATAACCTAACCCCCAGCAAAATCCACTTAATGTCTCCACGGTTCTTTCCCCCCGCCCCCCTCCCCCAATCCCCCTCTCCCCCCGGAGCCTCGGGACCTCAGTTGGGCTTGCAGCTCTGCAGCTGGCTCTGAGGGCCAGGCTGCCCTTCAGTAACCTGGAAATCTGCTCAATACCCCCGCCACCGGTCAGGCCTCCCAGGGGAAGCCACGGTGCTTGCTTTTTTCCAATCTGTTCTAACCAGATAGCATGCCATGGGCACTTCATCGAGGAGGAGAAAAATCTGATTTCCCAATGGCAACATGAGGGAAGGGGGCAGTGCGTGTTACCGCTTCCCAGGCAGTGAGCCATGAGGAAGGGGTAACTGTCAAAAGTCTCTTTCTGCCTCCCTTGCTGTATAAATCTTCTCCCGCTCTCCCTGGAGCACATCCCAGGCACAGGAGAGCAGAGCCTGCGCTTCTGGTTTGTGGCTGGGTGGGGTTTGGGGTTGTTGGCAGATGCAGCGAGCAGCTGATGAACTCCAGCAGGAAGAACTCAAAGCCTTCTACTTTCAGCTCTTGAACGGGTAGTACCTGAGCGTTCATCCTTGCTTCATGGCAACGTTGGTGGCTTGTCCGTTAACCAGATGAGTCTCTTACCTGTCAGGGTTTCATTTCTCTCCTGTCTTTCATCACTGCTATCAAATGAGACTGCAGGTTCTCTGAGACAGAGCCTGGTCTCTGTGTCCAAAAGAGCCACAGCCACAACTTGTGGTCTCCTGGCACATGGGAGGAGACGTATCTCACTCCATGAGCTCAGGTTACCTCCTTTCTGGGCATCAGTGGAATTACTTACATGACGATAAGACGCAACCTGAGTGCCTCATGGATTGTCCCTTGGTCAGACTCTCTAGGGTCTTTCTTCTCTTTCAGGTATGAGGACGCATTCCAGGTCCACAGCTCTTCCACGGAGTTCAACCAGAAGCCACTGGAGAGGGAGAATGAGCGTCTCCAAGCCATGGTGAACTCCCTGAGGTCCCAAGTCAACCAGGAGAAGCAGCGGAAGGAGAGGGTTGAGCGAGAGTACACCTCCGTTATTCAGGAGTACTCGGACCTCGAGCAGCGGGTGTGTGAGATGGAGAACTGCAAACTGCGCATCAAGGAACTGGAAGCAGAGCTCCTAGAGCTACAACAGATGAAACAAGTCAAGAAGTATCTGCTCAGCAGAGAAGACAACTTGTCTGAGGCCCTCCTCGAGCCGCTGAATAACGCCCCAGAAGCAGACTACATCGACCTGTCTGAGGAGGAGGGAGGGAAAAGTCACGGGCCATCCATGACGCCTTCCCCAAACCACCCTGTCCGGAAAAGCTGCAGTGACACAGCCCTCAATGCCATCGTGACCAAGGATGCCGTCAGCCGGCACGAGGGCAATTACACGCTGCACGCTAACAACGTGCGCAAACGGGGCATGTCCATCCTGAGGGAAGTGGACGAGCAGTATCACGCCTTGCTGGAGAAGTATGAAGAGCTCCTGAGCAAATGCCGGCAGCACAAGGACAGTGTGCGCCACACAGGGGTCCAAACGTCCCGGCCCATCTCTCGTGACAGCTCCTTCAGAGACTTCCGGGGAGAGGGACACGAGTTGGAAGAGAGGAAAACCATGGAGAAGACCATCAGCAAACACGTGGAGGCGGTGGACAAGCGGCTGGAGCAGAGCCAGCCCGAGTACAAGGCTCTTTTTAAGGAGATCTTCTCCCGCATCCAGAAAACAAAAGCAGACATCAATGCCACAAAGGTGAAAAACAAGAGCAGCAAATGAGTCCTGCCCCTCTGCAAACTCCCACAGGCAATCGCAACAGCCAAGTCTTCTCTTCAGCCCCAGGAAAGGCCACGTGGCCCCACTGCTTTGAAGGTTCGAGAGGTCTACAAGCAAGAAAACGTCACGGAGACTCAACTCACTTTTTTAAGCTTGGGCTCTGGACAACTCGTTGGGACAATTGTACATTGTAGTTAGAGGATTTCAGAAACTGTATGACGGATCTCTGCATGAGTTGCTGCCGCTGCCAGACATCACAACAGCAACGTAAACCACACCACGAAAAAAAAGAAAACCGATCGCCTCCTCCACCCTTTTCAGCTTGTCTTACAGCCCGATTATCTGCAAGCAAAAGCCTGGATGCCCTCCAGCATCCTGCCGCAGCTGGAGCGCAGGGTTTCCAAGTAAAACAAAAAGCCATCAGAACTTCAGGGGCTGCTCTGGCACACCAGCCCAACCCTCCACTTTGGTTTTATGGCTAAGAACCTACGCTTCTACCCAAGAGACTTCTGTCTACGCCTTCCCCTTCCCCAAAGGGCAGTATGTTCTTGCTATTTAAGCCATTCTCTTATCAGTCAGGTTTTTCAGCTATTCACAATGCAAGCTCATTGCAACTGGAAAAACTTGAAGAGAAACATAAAACTGATTGTTCTGTCTTCATCAGCGTTGCTTAGTATTTCAGTCCATACTCTCCAGACTTCGTAGGCATATGGGATTTCCTCGCTTTAAATCTGCCCCGGTATTTCAGCCCAGGTGAAGCACTGTGCCTGGTAGGAACTTGATGACCAGGGCTTTCCCATACGCTAGACAAGAAGTGCTATTACAGTATCAGAGACATGCTTTCATCTCACGGTCTGGGTACCAGCCCTCTGTGCTGTGCTCTTCAAGAGGTTGTCATTGCCCCATTGTAGCAAACTCCTCAAAAACAGCTTGCATGGGCTTGCAAAACTGACTACCCGTGACTTGCATGCAAGCAGAAGGATAAAGCATCACACTTGTATGGCGTCGGGAGCTCCGGCCCTGGCAGTAGCGCTGATCACGCATTGCCCCACACTTTTTGCTCTGAACGCCTCCCCAGTCGAGAGGACAGATTTCAGTTTTCTGCTGAAAATAATCTTTCTTGGCTGAGATACTGTCTCCAAAAGTTGCTCACCTCTCATGTTCCAGCTCACTTTCCAGCACTGAGATCTCCTCACTTCTGCTTCCACAGACATGCAAACACCCAGCCAAAAGGCCACTGCAGTCTCAGGAATCACCAGTTTCCATTTTTCATGAACTAAATGTTGACCTTGTATGGTCAGACACGCGTTTTAGGCAGAGAAGCAGCATTTCATTACAGCTTAGGCGACACCCCGAGCATTGAGCCACAAAAACCGAGCAGTCACTGTAAGCTACCTATTCTGTACCTGCCTGGAGACGAACTTCAGGCCAGATTTGGATTCTATTTTCACCAGCTTACATCCCAAAATCTTGGGGAAATGGTTGGCATTTTTGCCACACTGAGATAAATGATAAATAAATGGCTTTGGAGGGGGAAGACTGTTAAAATGTAATTATCCTCCAAGTCTAGGGCCTTGATGTTGCGAGGAGCTACCTTTCTTTCACTCACCATGGAATTCATGCAAAAACAACCCCAAAATACCCCCTTTTGTGAAGCTGAGTACCACAGAGGTAAGTTGGCAGGAGTGCAATGCCCAAACCGTAGCTGCTCCAGAGGTCTCCTCCTCAAACCGCCCACCACCAACTGCTCCGCTCTTCCACGCTCTGCATTTTCAGGTGCCTCGTGGCCCCGAACTCGAGAAACGTTAGGAGCCATACGCACGACTGTGGCTACCAGCTCTGTAACAGTATGGAGAACCTTCATGCCTTATTTATTTATAATGGAAAGCAGTTGTCTAATAAAATGAAATAAATAAAAAATGAACAACAACAGCAACAAAAGCTTCGTTGTTGATTTTCTCGGAGCTTTCACCACCCTATTACTTCAACACTTGTAGCCGGGGATGTCTGAAGCAACGTTGGTTTAAGTCAGCCAACGTTGATTCCTGCAGCCATCTGGTTGCTGCAGAGGTGTGGGAAGAGGATCCCTTCGCTTTCCGTTTTAAACGATCCCGTGTGAATCAGCACCACAGTTAAGTGTACAGCAGATTAAATATATTTTCCAATGCTTTATTCTCTTCTCGAATAAAAAGAAAAACACCGGTATTCTCAAAGCCGCGACTTTCTTTACAGCTCTTTTTACTTTTAAGAACAGCAGAAGAGTTATTTCTTTGATTTTCATGTACGATTTGGGTCAAGAAAATGCTTCAGGCCTCTGTGCAGAAAGCAGAGAGAATGTGCCGAACTACACTGCTGCATTATTTATATAACATACATTTTGTGCACTTGGACTACTAACATTTGCCGCACGATAAAACCCCGTCTTTTGTCAGCTCTGAAGTCTCTGTAAAACCACACAGTTTTTAAGCTTGCAATTCAAACGCTATTTTTGTTTTGGTCTTTCTTGAAAGCCACACATCCAAAAATGACTGATGTAAGTAACACGATGCGAGTATCTGGCTTAACAAAGGAGCAGCTGCCGTACATCAGCAGTTTGTTCAGCAAAGTGCTGAGGGCATTTCTTCTGCATCCAAAAATATTAGTGGCCATATATATACGTCCTGATGACTGTGTGAGTCAGAGTCACTTGATTTTTTTCTTAAGTGAGGCTTTCAGCAATCAAAGGAGGAAAAAATAAGCATCTTCTGGCCTTTTATCCCACCTTCTATCTAAACTTTTCAAATTGCTTTGAAAACACCAAGGAAAACTACACAACCCCATTACGAGGTAAGAAGAGAGTATCAACCAACCGCACTGGTCACCACAGAAACTGGGCTGACAGAGAGCAGCGGCTATTTAATAGCAAAGCCCATGATTCAGGACAGAAAGAAAAATGCTGCATGCAATTAAAATGGATGAGAACAAGTACGCTGTAATAGGAAATAATGATTAATTTCAGAATTTGGCAAAACCAATGACCCTGTTCAGCTCACTCCATTAAGATCAGTAAGGGCACAGCTTGGCAGGAATTCAGTTTTATGCTGAATTTCAAAGATGACATTTAGACAAGTGCATTTCCATCAGATCGGGTCTGGTTCTTACCTTACCACCAGTTTGAACAACCCTTCAGAAAAGCACCCATCATTAGGAACAGGGATGGACCACTTGAAGCACAAATTCAAGGGTTTTACAGAGCTCGAACTCTCCCGGGGAAGGAGATTTCCTGATTCAGCAGCCGTCCCTCTCTTAGGGGAGCTGAGACCTTCTGGAGGGTCCCTCAAAGTCCCGACTCGCTCCTCCCTTCTGCCCTCACTCACACGAGGAGCGACCGGCTCCTTGGACACATCAGCTTTTGCACCACGTCTCAGGGATGGCTCCTCACAGCTCTTGCTGACCAGCGACCACCACCACCAAATGGGGCGAGCTCGCTTTCTACGCCAGCATCGGTGTTGAGGCAAGTCACATCTCCAGCTTAAACGTCAAAAACTTGGCTCTCCTTGGGTCACGCCAAAGGAAGACCTGCTCACCCCAAGTCCTGCCTGCCAGGGAGAGCTGTCTGCAGCCACCCAAGCGGAGGTCATTCTGCTTTTCGCCGAGGCTCTTTGGGTGCCGGCAGCAGCCAGCGCGGCGTGGGAAGGGAGCAAGCCACAGAAACCTCCTTTTTGATGGGTCTGGCTTCACCTGCGTGACCTCCAAGCCCCTTTTCGCAGCCCCGCTGTGCGCTGTACGATGACACCGTCCTTGGCATGTGTTACCAGCACAATAACAATGCCGACACGTTTGACAACAGTTGGTAAAATGAATCATCCTGCTTTGGATATTTTACCCATCCCTCTGGCTACAAATCACAAACGTTTACCTGTTCCCTGTTAGAAATTAAGGTCACCAGATGGCGTGGTTTGTCTCTGACAGTTCTGGGTTTTTTCCTTAAAGCATTCCGTTTTCAGCCGAGTTTGGACAGGGGAAACAGAGCAGAAGAACCCCAGGACACAGAGATTCAATTAAAACAAAGCACAGAGCCGTCCTTGGCCCCCGAGCACTGCTCAGCACCAGTCAGGGCAGACCGACTGTCCACGTTCGGGACCTGCTCCTTTCCTGAGGACCGACTTTCCTGATTTTGCGCTGATTATCCAGAAGGGTCCCAGCTCAGATCCCCAATCGCACGCTGTCTTTCTATCAGCTTCGAAACACCCGTTCTGACTTCACCCACAGTTTTAAACAAAAGATCCTCAGCTCCTGTCAAAACACCAGAGCTAATGACAGCCCCGTCCCTGCCTGGGCGTTTTCCTGCTGCCAGAAATAGCGATCCTGCCCCTCTCGAAGGCGCACCCTTCTTGCCAAGCCACCGTGACAGCTCCAGCAGGAGCAAGAGCTGAAGGATTTCCACAAGTTCTTCACTTCCCTGCGCTCCCCTTCCACCTCGGCATCTCTCTTACAGACCTGGAAACATATATGTGCTGCCGTATCAGTCTTCATTAAAAAATTACATATACACACATATATATAAAAAAAGCTTTTTAGCACTCTTGAGCAGATAAAAATCTGAAAGCTGAAGCATCCCAGGTGCAGAAACTAGACAGTAAATAAAAAACGCTGGGTGTATTTTCACTTTTATGTCCGGCCATCAGCCGCTCAGCTCGCGTAAGCGTGGGGTGCAGGTGGGCGCACGCTGTCCCCCACCGCTGCCTGCGCCGTGAGGAGCTGGAAACGAGCTGCCCAAACCGGCCCCAGGCACTGGGCCCTGCGCTGGGGCACACCGGGCCACCCGACCGCCACCTCGCCCCAGCACCCTTGTCCCCAGGCATCCCAC